CGCCCGAGCGGAGGGTTAGGGACACGTGGCTGTGCTCTGCTGCCGTCCGGGGCCTCCCGGAGCTTCCACCCGGGGAAAGTGTGGCCCTGGCGCGCAGGCCGAGCCGCAGCTGGTTCACCTGCGTGGCTTTAGGCTGCCGAGGTTGAGTGCGTTTCAGGAGTGGGAGTGACTTAAACCCGAGGTTCATTGCAATTGAACCCACCCATCTTCAGCCTTGTGAACCCACCCATCTTTAGCCTTAAAAGTTTGTGTTTATGCCCCAACTCTAGCAAATTACTGATATTAAGCCATAATAATAGATAAGAGGCAACAGCTGTTACTTGTGGAAGAAATGTAATTCTTAGGGATGGCAGTTGATCATTTAAGGAACAACCTGTTTTTCAGACTCCTGTCTGTCTTATGTTACTTTAACCTTCGTGGTATGAACCAGAGCTTCTGTAACAACTGCAGTACTGTGGCTTTGGGCCCTGTCCCATGAAGACAGGCAAGCTGTAAATCACACTTTTTACTTCCCTGAAGTTTTTTTTGTGTTGGCTTGGGCTGTGGAAAAATGGACACGCTCTTAGCTGGTGTTTTAAAGTACCCTTTGGTAAGAGAGCAACAGTTTTGTTGCCTCACTTTGTCAGATTATTTGGAAACAATGCAAGAAATGCTTCTGCCTGCCTCTGTTCTTCTGCTGTTGCGTGAACAGATGTACTGTGTACATACATCACAGTAGCACAGATTGGGTTTTGCACGGAGATCTTGGAATTTTTGTGGGAGTCATGTAATGTGTGAGCCATGGCGTCTGTGTGTCTTGCCCTGCAGGTTTGACCAGTGCAAATTTACCTAATATAGGCAAAATTTTAGACTCCTCTGGGAATCTTACTGCTTGATTGTTTCATCCTTTAGAGATTTATTTTTTTATTATCAGAAATTGGCTGAAATGTTGATTTCATCTGAGTCTGTGTCACCTATGAAGTTTAGTGCCCAGTCTGTAGAATACGTTTCACTATTTGCACACTTAGTAAAATCTCTTGATGAGGTTGCTGAGATGTACAGTAATTTGCTGTAGCCATTCAGTTGCAGTTGCTGTTTGAAGCATGAGTTCTGGGTTACGTGTCAGGTCTTTATCCTTGCCCCAGACATTACTTCTGTACTCACATATGATAATTCCTGGCACAAATGAAGTAGAGTTTCGTGCCTTCTTATATATTTAATGCCATATGTTCTTTGTATGCTTCTTATGATTCTGTAATGCTTTGTCTGGCCCAATTATGTGTCTTATTTCTAAAGTAAATATTGACAGTATTTTTTGGTTTCCTTCCATGGGAGCTTCTGAGGCCTTAGGTCTTGTGGACTTTATTTGACCACATTCTGTTATTTTTTCTCTCCTTTTTGAGATCTTGTAGTCATAACTGAATGTGATATTCCACCTGCAAGTAGGTTAGTGATACAGCTGGAATTCTTCAGTGGCTTCTACTCTGTTCTCTGTAATTTCTGTCATTTTTTAATAATTACTTTTATGGCCTGTGCACTCTGTGGCCTGAAGGTCTTTCAAAATAGTAAACAATACATGTCACTTGTGAAACTGCCAAGTGTATACAATAACATCTTTAACAATAGTTTATTACTTTTTTCATGTATTTCATTATTACTTAGTGAAAATCAGAAGTTTATGGTCAAGAATTACATAATACAAATACTGTTTTTTGGAGGAGGGGGCAGAATTACAGTTTGTGTTTCCTGATACCTTTTTTTCTTTTATTGAGGAAAGTATATGATTATTTTTAAGTAAGTGTATAAGGTGCTTGCTTTTTGCCTAAAACAATTTTGCATCTTGAAAGGGAATTGTGAATTGGTGTTTTTGCCTTGCTGAACTTCAGTTGAAAGGTAGATGGGTGTGAGAATAAACCGGAGAAGAAAGGTGAGGAGTACATAGAGTGGAGTAGAAATGCTGATCCTGAGTTGTTGGAGTAGAGATTTTAATTGAACTGTCTGTGATTAAGACTACTGAGACATCAAGCAAAATATCCAGAGAAGTGAATGGGTAAAGGTTTGTGGAACTGTGGGAAGTTGGGTTTGAAGTCTTGAGTACAGCCTTCCAAAGGAGATGCTGAAGGAGGAGGTGTGCAGCATGTAGCTCTTGAAAATGTTCAGCTTTTCGAATAGAGTATTAAATGTTAAAATTCTGTTACTGTAATAAAATTCTGTTATTGTAACTTAGAAATTCTTACCTAGGTGAATAAACTGAACTTAACTGGACTTCTGGAGTATTAGAGATGCATAATTTCATAAAGCCTTGTCCAAACCCCACAGTTTGAAGTATAACATTATTCAGAAATTGCGCAGATTAATGTTGCTGTTTTTACTTCATAGATTTTGAAGACGATGATGTGTATGGCCAATCAGTAGAAGATGATTATTGCATTTCTCCTTCAACAGGTTAGTTCAGATAGTTACATTTCAGTATCATCCACTGACTCCTGTTCTGATACTTTCTTCTGGATTAAAACATTTAAAAGCTAATGAAAATTTTGAGAAGTGCCTAGTGGCCATAATCCTCTCAAAGTCAGTTATGAAGTGTTAGGCATAGTGTTGGGAACATGTTGATAATCTTGAAACATTTGTTATCTTCTAAAGTTCTTAGTAGGACCTACCTGGGCTTAACAGTTGTGGTTCTGCACTTGGTAGTTGATGTCTTTTACACAACTTTGAGTAAGTGTGGAGTAGAGAGTCTTACCATGGGATGCAGTGCTGGTCTTCACTGGATTCTCCTCTCATGCAAGGTCACATGGGGCTAATGAACCTTACAGCATGAGTAGTGTTGCAAAGTAGTTGTAAAAATAGTGATACTATGGGCTCAGGTAAAACATAATTGGAGGAGCTCAGCCTCCAGTTGAGTTGAGTTGACTCCAAGTGTCAGTTGAATTCAACCCGTCTGTAGAACCATTAGGTTGTATTCTCCAGTCAAGTCTCTGGTGAGATGATCAGTTCAGGGTATTCCCAGATTTGATGGCAGTGTTTCTAGAGCTGAGTAGGCCCTGGAAATAGTACAGCTGATGTTGATGTGAAGCTGTGCTGCTGCAGGTAACTTAGTCTGGGTCTAAATCCACTGTGACATAGTGTGTGACCTTTGGCCACAGGAACTTATAATAATTAGGTCTTTAAAACTCTGTTCCTCTCTCATGCAGTGGATTATAGATAAGCAAATCTAGGTGTGTAATTTTTGTATTGGTAATCAGATTCCCCAACAGATTGACTTGCATTCAATTTCCAAGTTTAATTGCTAGATTTTTTCAGTCATTTTCTGAGAATTGATATAGCCCTGCTTTTTTGTGATGAAAATATGCAACGTGTACTTGTTGCTTAAGTGTAGACTGATCAATTGCAAAACTATTTCCTGCCTGCACACGGTAGTTTTCCTAAGAACTCCTTGTGTTTAAGCTTCATTTATAAAATAATCTGATCTAGATTGTATAACAGTCTTTTAATAGTTGCTTCAGTTCCGGTGATTGAATATGAATTGTTATGCATTTGGGAAATGGTTGCTAAGGCTGTACTTAACTTCTGGATATACCTGTGCTTTCAGTGTGTATCTCTGAGCTGGGGAGAATGTTTGTTTGCATTATACTTTGTGCATTTCTGAGAGTATATAATGACTGGGGCTCATGTTCAGCAAGGAGTTTTATCTATATGTTCCTTAATGTGTTGCTAAATCAGTGAAACTATGCGCTTATTCACAGTTTTGTGTGACTGTAAGTTTTAACTCATGCTGTATTTCTAATGAAATTCCAAGAAGAGAAGAATGTGTTTAACTGCATTAAATTCTTATCAGTAGTTTGGCAGTGACATACTGTAAAAACAATGTTAATTTCATGCTAACTTTTTTTTAAAACTTGTAACTGAGGTAGAAAAAGCGATGTGGAGTAAGGTTCTGGAGACATTAGGCCCTAGATGATAATTTATATAGAAAATACTGTTTTTCAAACCTGGAGTACATTTTTTTGTTTGAATACTGAACTTTGCAGAAATATTGCATCACATGAATATAAGGATGTTGCCCTACCTGTGGTTTCACTGTGATGACAATTTAGTTATATTCTAGCTGAAACTGCTGTATGTGCCATACAGGTTTCAGGTAGCAGAAATTATACAGTAGTGTCCCACCAACCCCATGAAACCACTGCAACAGGTCATCCTAATTGTTTGGTTTTTAATTTTAGGTATGTTTTGTTTTTAAAGGAGGAAAAAAATATTTGACCTTTTTTTAATACTTCGCTTTTTACCTAATACAGCAGCTCAGTTTATCTACTCCAGACGAGACAAACCAGCCACACCTGCTGAGCCATTAGAAGAAGAATATGGATATGAAGGTGCAGATGATACTGCTGATTATTTTACATCCAATCATCAGTTGACTGAGGTTGATAGAGGTAATTATAGAAAATAAATAACTGTCAGATCAATCTCTGATACAAATTAAGGATTTACCAGAATAGTCTTAAATTCATGGTTGTTACTTGACTGGCACTGCTCACAGTTTTGTAATCTTGTTGTGAAAGAATACCCTTAACAAACATAACTTCAGTGGTGGTTCTTCAAGTTCATAACTACCTTTTGCATGCTACCTGTAAATTGGTGGCAAACATTGAAATGTGTTCTTAGTTGCTTCTTAGAAATAATGAGATTTCATATGAAATTCAGACCTTAGTATTTGTAGAATGATTTTTTCTTGTTTGCATTCCAGATTATAGCAATTAGCAGTATGTAAGAGGTTTTCAGCCTTGCGTTTCCTTGAAACAGTACCAAATAATCTCTGCAGTCTTTTCTTACCCTGTTTTGAATTCATAGGACTTCTGTTTCCATTCAGTCCTGCAGCCTTGAATTCCACATTACCAGTTGAGTTATGAGCTGAGTGGTTGGGGAAAAAAATACTTATATTTGTTTTTTAAACTTGCTGCCTGATTGGTCGATTATTTGCTTTGTGAAAAGAATCACAAGTCTCTTTCTTAAGTATTAATAGGTAGTATAGTTTTTAATGTTTTGGAAGTAATCAGGGTTATTTTTAAAATGTTGATAAGCTCCGAGTAAAGCATGTTGAAATTTGGTACTTAGAAAAAGTTGCAGAAAATTCAGAACAACAGAACAGTTTTAATTCCATGTCAAGTAAATTGGTAGAAGTGATACTAATGCTTTGAGATATGGTTAAATATGATAAATTGGGGGGGTAATACACATGGTTTTACAGCAGGAAATAATGCTGTAGAGGGCAATTTGAAAGTATCAGCCAGTATAACGGTACATGTGATCTAGACAATAAAGTCCTGTGGTTTATCAGAAAGCTTTTGACAGACTCAGATCACTTAAGAACCAATATTGGAACATGAAAGAAAGTAACATTCTCGACCAAATAAAGGGGGTAAAGAAACCAAGAAATAATCATTTCCACTATGAAAACAGCAGTAGTCTCATAAGACCTGTTGTGTTTGATGCAGTGTGAAGTGTTGGCCATTAATACAGAATTATTGGTGCAGTCAGTCTGGCTGCAAAGAGTTTGGCAAGACTGTCCCAGCTGAGTGTTAGATAGTAAAATGGCAACCAGCACATTGTGCAGGGCTCTGCCCATGCTTGTTTTGCAGGGCAAATGTCTGCTGTACATTGACTTGCTATTTGACTTGCAGGTCGAGGGTGCTTATCTAAATAGCTCTGAGGAGGTTGGAATTCAGTGGTGTTGAGTTGCCTTAGCAAAGTTCTTTAATCGTTGCCATCTTTCAAGAGGTGTTCATATAAAAAAGATTTAGTTGTCTCCCTGTTTTCTAAAATCTGAAATGGCAGAAACTGGGATGTTCAGGAAGATCTCCTTCTGTTCTCTTGTGTTTGTGTGTCTGTCTGATCACCCTGGTGAGTGGCAGCCTGGTGAGTTTTCAGTCTCTTGTTGTGTGGCCAGTATCTTATGTAAGATTTATACTAGTTGCAGAAATATGCTCCGAAGAAAATTGATTTTATTAGCCAAAAAATATATTACAGTTTTAGGAAAGGTAAAGATTGCAGGTAGTTTGGAACCTGACATGTTGATCCAGAGTTTTCAGATGTTAAGGCCTGAGGACCCTGAAAATGCTGTTTTACTTTGGGTGTTAATTGTGGCATCTGTGTAAATGCTTAAAATGTGCTGTTCAATAGGATTCCACGTTGACTTACTAAATTACTCTGGGTGATTTTCAGGTGATTATTTGTATTTCTTCTCTGCAGTGAAGGTAGTTATTTTGCAGCATCAACATATTTCAATATTGAGACTTTCTAGGCTAGTAAATAGTAGTCAGTGATATGTTCCTTATAGCAATATCTGAAATCGGTCAAATAATCTGCAGGGTGTGGGAATAAAGTTTATCAGGGCAGTAAGTGAGATTGAAATTAATTTCTAAAGGGTTTATCTCTCATTGTAGTATTTCTCTCTGCTAATCAGAGGCGTGGTGCCAGTGGTTAGGCTATTTAAGGCATATTTTTGTCCAGTTTATAACAATAATATGTTTCTTTCAGCTCGTCTTAATTCATGCCTTGATCAAATGAGAGAAGTTTTGGCAGAGTCCATACCAGAGCAAGCAATGGTGCAAGCAGTGCTGGATAGTCAATTTGATGTACAGAAGGCTTTGGATCTTGTGCTTTCACAAGGCAGTAAGCAAAATGTGAAGACCAAGAATAAGGATGCTGTGGTTTTAGCAAAGACTGCAAAAGGTATACTTGTATTTAATTGTTGCGTTCAAGATGATTCATTTCTATCTACAGTTTTATATTGGCTTTACAAACTGAAGGTGCTTATTATTGCAATAGTCATTTATTAGAAAATTAAAATCGTCTAACTTACTATTCCTGCGTTCTAAAACATTTAAAGGAAATCAGTAGCTTTTCTTGAACTAGAAGTCAAAATAACATCTTGGTGTCAGTTTAGATTCAGACTGCAACCATCTGCAGTTCACAGTAGATTTCTGATTTATAATATATGACTTAACTGAATCAAGGCATGTCCTTAAAGTTGGACATCTTTGAAGTTTTATGCACTTCCCTTGTTTGTCTGGTGAACTGACATCTCCCATCCCCAATACCTCCCTTTTTTTGGTAGTGTCTGTAGAGTAACTTCCTTATTTTGATTTGTGCTTAAATCCTTGTGATCTTTACTGGCATTCTTTGCTGATTATTAGTTTTTGGGCTTTCAGTAGATACCTGTAATTTAATTGTAGAACATTGTTTATCTTTGGATAACATTTAGTAATGAAATGCCTTTTCATGTTTCTTCTTGATTTTTTTTGTTGCTGCTCTCAACTTTTAAAAAATTGGATATTTCGTCGTGATTTCACTTCCATCTGAAAATTATTGGCTATTGTAAGGTAAGGAGACTTACATTGTTGTCCAGAAATGTGTATTGATACAGACAGCTTCTCTTGTACGGTAGAAAATATTGCTGATAACACCAACCAACCTGGGTTTGGAAACTTGGCAGCCAAAAATGGTTCAGCTCTTTATTCTTTAATTACAAATGACAAAATGCTCCTTAATACTGAAAAATCCAATATGCCTTCATGTGAAAGGAAAGGATTGAAATCATCTTCACTTGTTTTGCCTTCTGATTTGTGTAAAGGATTGTTTTGTGAACCTGTGAATAAACAGGCAGAGAAGCAACTGGCAGAAAGTGCTAATGCAGTAAGTTTTGTTCCCGACAGTGAAGGTGTTTACTTTAGCACAGGAAGTAACCCATCGAAATGCAAGCAAACACAGGACTTGAAATCCTTGCTGATGCAGAGTGTGGTTTGTGATTCTATGAGTCCTGAAGACAGCATTCCTCTTGTTTCCTCAAATAATTCCAGTTGTAATAGTAATGCAAATTTTTACAGTCCTCCGTGTTTAACAAGTGCGTTGGGAAAATTGGTTCTTGATAATGAAGTCAGTCATACTGTAAATAAAAAGAATGAACTTCTTGAAAATTTTTCTTCACTTGTGCAAAGTAGAAAACAAGAAAGCCCCTCTTCAGACATGGCAGCTTTGCCAGTGTTAAGGTCTGGAAGTACATCATTGGCTGACTTACTTCAGGAACATCAGCAAAGTAGTGCAAGCCACTGTTACTCTTTGGCTGATCTTTACACCCAGTCAACAGCAAGTCTCACTGATACGAAATTGGGAACCTCATCATTATCACAACTAGTAAGTCAACCCCAAACTTCAGATGGGATGCCAGAGCTAACGGGGTCTTTGTCTTCTCTGGCCTTGTCTCATGTTTCTCCAATAAAGGAGGTTGAGAATCTGTCACTGTCAGATTTAATAGCAGAGACTATGGAAATAGATAAAACTCAGCAAAGAGCAGACTTGCCCGTGTGCAATGTAACTGAATTGAGACCCTCCCAAAGAACCAACATTGATTTAAGTGTCCTTGTGAAAAATACAGCTGTATCTACAGAACAAAACATAGGACGGTCAAGTACCTTAAGCCCTGAAACTAAACTTTGGAAAGAAAAACAAGGAAAATGTTCTGGTTTTGCCAAAACAAATAAAAAACCCCATAAAGGTCATGCTCTTAAGAGGCAGGATTTGCCCCTTTCATGGATGAAGGCACTGCGTGCAAGACCTTCAGCTTTTGCTTTGACCTTGTGCCTCCGTTACCCTCCCAAAGGTTACAAGCGGCGCACAACTGGTGTACACAAAACCTTCCTGTACAGCAGACAAGTACAAGATGTAAAACCCAAGGAAACTGGTCCTATAATAGCCATAACACCATTTGACTTCAAATCAGCATCTCCTGATGATATTGTGAAAGCTAGCCAAAAAAAAGCTTTTACAAGACAGTAATGAGATAAAAAAGGATCAGTGTTTAGGTTTTGGTATATAAAAAAAATTTGCATAGGACCCATTTATAATGCAGAATTGTTTTTTTTCATTTTTAAAATTTATATATACAGTTCTCACTGATTGGTAGCAAATTTTTATGTGAACTTTTAAGCTGTTGCACTGAATAACTTAATTTTTGCCTAATTTTCACTGATAGTTTAACATTTTTAACTTTTTCAGAGTCTTGAACTTTAATATATAGATATTGCATGTACAAAATTCTATGAACACCATTAGACTTCTTGAAATATTTCACTAGGTATTGAAGATACAGTTCATTGGGAAGACACCAAATTACTATTTTGTAAAGTAATTTAGTTTTGCTATATGGTGTACAGTTTGGGGAGCAGGAGCCTCATTTTATATTATGACTGTTTTAGTAAATGTTCTTAAAGTTAGATTTTCTGGTAAGGTATGTTATTAAACTGCCAGTCTTGTAATTGAGGTTTCCAGTCAATGTCATTATTGTCTTTCTACCTTTTTACTGATCACACTATTAAAATAGGAATACCTTTGGTTTTTAAAAACCTCAGTGACCTCAGGTTTTGACAGTTCTGGTTGTGATAGGACGTGTATAGTTTTTGATAGGACCAAATTTGTAGGGGAGCTAGCAATTAAAATTGTTGTGCCCCTCCCCTCCTGCAATCAGCTGTCAAAATGCAATATGCAGAATTTTGAAACAGCAATTTCATAGGTATATACATGCTGTATGTATTCCATGAGAAGTTTTCCTGGGATTTTATGGTATATTCTCAAGTCTTTCACAAAAGTATTGGAATAACAGTTCTTCAGCTTCAGGATGAGTCTTTTCTCAATGGAAAAAAAAAAGCAGGCAAGGTGTAAGTGCTGTTTCTGTCTGCCTCTAATCTGTTTTGAGGGAAACTTCCTGTAGAAATGGAAATATATTCTCTTCTACTGTTTGTACCCATTGCTGTTACTTTGAATTTTTAGATGAAAGATCCAAATGGGAATATTCTGGACTTGCTCTGGTTCCCTGTTAGTCAAATTAGTAACTTCATGTATCTTGTAACTTTCTTTTTAGTACATGTTACTACTTCTAATGTATTTCCAGTGTCATGGTCAGCATTTTGGGTTCTGAACAGCAAGAAGTGCAGTAAAGATACTGCTGCAACTAGAAAAATGTTTGTTCATATACTGCCAAACACTTATTCATACTAAAGTGGCAGCCAGTATGAAACAGTAGATACAACTACTACAATTTTTGTTGAGCATGTTACATCAAGAAGACAACAGAAACTTTAGGTTTATTCCTGACTTCAGGTTGCACTTTGATTTTGTTTCTAAATAAAAATGAAACATGTTCCAGTTCTCTCAGGTACAATTTTAGTGGTCTGTATATTTTGCTTGTTTGTCTAGTTGATGCAATTGTCATTTAGGACTTTGAGCAGTGTGACGGTTGACGTCACGAATGAAATTAATGTTTCTTACCCTTATTAATAAAAGTTTCATATAATGACAGTGCTGCAGTGTTTATATTTCAGTTGATGTGTTAATCTATCCATCTGTATCCTAACCTATTGAGTGCCTTACAGGATTAAATAATACAATCCAGTGTACATACTGGTTAGTTATCTGATAACTGGAAGTTATCTGGTATAACTTCATAAGCAGGAGCATAATTGATTTCCTCAGAAGACTTTCTATAGAAGTGTGGTTGATACTGATAGTAATACTGGTTGTTAACACAACTAATTAATAAAATTAGTCATAATATTGAATTCTGCTACGTGAAGAATATGAAATGCTTTTTGGTGATCTGTTTCTCTGTAATTAGTCGAAACATTAACTTCCTCCTGCTGAGGCAAAATGTCCTATTTGGAGAATTTATAATTAAAGATCCGTTTTTCCAAAATTGTGTGTATTTTTCTAGTAGAGCAATTCTAATACTTAAACATAAAACATTAGTGCAAAGTTTGGCATCATCATGCCTGGTATATTTTTAGGTGGTTTCCTTTCTTGTGTTCCAAATACTCTTGGGGCCCTAATTAATGTAGGTAGAGATTTCTGATACTTGTGGGTTTTCTAAAATTTTCATTGAATAACTTCAGTTTTCCATCTAAATCTTTCTATATTCTTGTCTTCTCTTGGTTTTGGTCTGTGTTCTCATTCCCCTGACTGTCCTTAATTGCATAAAACATCTTAGCATTTTGAATAATTTTTAGAACCTGTGAACTGGACGTACCACTAAGTGTATGTCCTAGGGAGTCCATTGGAAAGTATGTACAAGTAGTAGTACGATGTGTAGTATGTGAAGCTCAGTTTTGCCGTAGGTTTAATGCAGATTAAAGCTTGAACAAGTGTCTGAGGCCAAAGGGCATCAGCATTATATGCTTATCATAGATCTTACTGTGGGATTGATACTTTAGTAAACAACTTTGGATCTTGTTAGGTAGCTAGATTTTCATATATAATTACTTTTTCATTTGCATTTGACTGTGGTGGTGGTCATGAAGGAGCAATACATGCTGTTTGGTGTATAAGCAGCAGGGGATGGATTCTTCTTCAGTTTGCAATCCCAAATCCTGAAGTGAGTCACGAATTAGTACAAACCTGCAGGCTGAACACTGCAGAAGATACCTAAGTGGTGGGAAAACCTGAATTACAGTTAATTTTCAGCAGAGATTATTTATTTTGCTGCTTAGACAGTTTTACAGTTTTGTTTTTCTAAATAAAAGATACTGTTTTCTAAACAAAAGATATTTGCTTTTTAAATGAAGCAGGTATTTTAATAATTTCCTTAATTATTGCTTAATTTCTGAATTTCTTTACTGAGAACCAGGTTTGTGTTACCAGTAACAGGTTTAACTGTCTTAGAATACTGCATGATATTATGGTATGTGGCATTTTTGTATAACAGGTCTGTGTTTGGCCTTTGCACTGAAGTGTTTGTGCCTAATGAATGTTAGAATTCTTGTTAACTGAATCTGCCTGTTTTATGCTTGACACAGTTAGCTTACTTTCTTGATGTGTATATATATAGATAGATAGATAACTTTTCCCCCTTATTTTGTAGCTACTGCAATTCTTTGTCTAATATGGGTTAATTGTGTTATTTGTTTTGGAATTCACAGATTAACATTGCAAAATACTTGCCTCTGTTTGCATATGAACAGAAAAAGATAATACTAAACTACACAGACATACTGCTTGTGGTATTCAGACTGTATAGTCCTAAGGCATTTTGTACATTAAATTTATTTTGTGCATAATTTTTAAGTGGCTGCTGAATATTTTTAATACAAAATTGACATTGCTTGATGTACCTAAATAAAATGCATATTCTGAAAGGACTGACTTAATTACAATGTCTTGTTTACTTGCCTGATAGAAATAGAGTTGTGATTGAATGGACTGTAATGTTTATATCTGTCATGGAAACAGACTACAGTTCTTGTCCAGGTTTGCATGGGCACACTTCTTTGCACGGAAGATTCCTTTGGAGAGAATAAGGCAAAAACTGTTCAGACAATTCTCAAGATTGTAAGTTGAAGAGGCAGCAAGGTGCTTGAATTTCTAGAACTGTTGCATAATAATATTTGAAAACCTTATTTCTGAAGGACTGCTTGGTGCAGTGAGATAGTCTCTGCAACCTTGTGTTTTGCCCTATTTCCTCTTAAGTCGTTCAAATACATATTTCAGTAATAATTTCTGAAAATCTGCACTTATGGAAAAAGTTAAGCAAGTACTACTACTTCAAAATTGAATAGCTGTACATAAGATTCATGTGAAGATAGGATATAGCTTGTCTTTATGATAGGTATATAGTTAATTACAGTGATATTACAGAAGGGCAGTAGGTTAGGGTTATACACAATTATTCACAGTTCTTTCAAACTTAAAGTGCTCAGCTTTTCAAATGTTTAAAATGCTTTTGTATTAAATATTGATCTATGAGTCAATATTTCAAGCAAACATTTCATCACGTTGTAATTCATGGAGTAAAAAGAAACGTCCTAAAGTGCTGGAAGGGGATGGGATACTTCTCTGTTTTTTGGGGTTGTTTGGGTGGGGTTTTTTGCGTCTTTTTTTTTTTTTTTTTTTTTTTTTAAATTAGCTTGAAATTTTATGGATAACTTTTTTTTTGTTACTGTGAAGTGTAGACAGCTGATAAACTTTTAAGTAGATTTGATGCTCAATTTGCTGTGTCGAGACTGCTAATTAGATGAAGGAAGTGGCATTAGTTCAAGTTACCTGTACTTCTGTGTGTGGTCTTAATCCGTTTTGACCATGGATTTTCTATGGGGAAGTAAGAGAAATAAATATATTGTGGAATTGGTATGCTTATTCTGCACTAAAAAACAACGTGATGAAGCAAAAATCAAAGCCAGTGGTTATTTATTTATTTATTTATTTATTGAATCACGTGCTTTTTCTTCCCAAGTTGCTATCTCTATGCAGTTCAGTGGGAATGGGTCTCTCTTCTAGTATTGCTATCCTATTCAGCTAGTTGGTCATTTCTGTAGACTATTTGTTGAACTACACAATTTTACTCAAAAGTAAAAGCTCATAGCAGTTTGTGATTTTAGGTGATTATTGAGATGAATGATCCATATGAAATGGTTCATGGGTTTCTGGTGTGAGTGTTGTCATGGAAGTGTTCTGTGCCTGGTTTGTGGCTACATTACACTGCATGCTTAAAAACTGGCCCATTAGAAACAATTGTCTGTGATGTCTGAGGTATGTCAGTTGTTTGTTGGTGAAATAATTGATTTTGATACTTAGTGTTGGTAGGATTCCTTTAGAAAATAACTCATTGTCCTACAAGTTTCTGGTAATAAAATGACCAGAAAATGACTAGCATCTGTAAAATGGTTGTAATCTGCAGAGATTGAAATGACTCATTTTGAAAGTCTTGCACATTTCATTAAGAATTACGGACTTAGGAAAACAGTGAAAATTATCTTACTCTTTTTATAATGAAATATGGAGATTTAGGGAAG